GTGTGGAGTATGGAGCAAGGAAAATTCACTACTAGTACCAGTCAGGTATACCTGCTTCTTCAGGATATAATCCACAGCTTTCATGTTTGTAAAGAACCAATCACAGTATACATTTATACTAGGATGCAGAGTTTTAGCCAGACATCTGCTGGCCAAGGCTCCCAAACCCAGCCTTTGAGAATACGTCGTCCAGATCTCTGTAAATGTTTAGATGCATGTGGATGGAGTTCTCTGTCATTATCATCTGCTGATCAAATTATAGGAAATGAATTGTTTTATCATTTGATACACACTGGCTATTTTACTGTAAGATACAGTACAATAAACCTATTGTCCCCATATGTGACATAATCTTTTTCAAAAACTACTTCCTGTTAAAAGATGATGCTTAGTTTTTATAGTTATCAGGTCCTACTAACCCCAAATAGCTAGGAGACATTAAAAATGCATACCAAACAAAACCTCAGGTCTCAGGAGGTTAACTAATATGGCGCTCATAGAACTGTTGTATAAAATCAATATCACACTTGAGGTTGTGATGTATATCAATTCGGGAACTGCAGGGAAGAGGAGGAGCGCTTCCAATACACTGAGCCTCACCTCCATTATAGCAAATAAACTACTTTCAGTTAGATATAAAGACCTGCCTTTAATAAAAGTCTGTTACGCTCTGGAGCTGAAGTAAATAAAGACTAAACTATGGTGGATCCAGACGGAGGCTGTGCTCTGTGTCAGAGACTGAATAAGAAAGATATTGTGTCTCTTCTTACTTTCTCTCTGAGTGATCATGTCACAGTAAATCCAACTGAAATCACAGCTCAGTCTTTTGTCTTTATTTATGTGTTTGGTGATTTTGTCAGACCATATACTCGGTTTAGACCTAGTCCTGTGAAAATAAGAAGCTCTTCCAGATTTTCTTCTGTTCAGTGGAGACTCTGAAATGAGAAATACTAACAGCAACTGGTTTCACTTAGCTTGTTTATCCTCACCAAGTGGTAATTACACTGAGTGTAAAACAGATGACTTTTAAAACAGCCCTGACCTTTAATTGACTCAGCACACAATGCCCCACTGCAGCCTTCATGTTTACCTCCACTCGCTCATAAACATCTGATGACTGCTTGAGCTTCCTTATAAAGCAGCTGCTGCGACTGCAACTCAGACGACCTATGACAGTGTGACTCCATCTGTAGGCGTCAATGCTGTGTAAACGTTATTTCGTCAAACCTAAAATTTCTTTTAGAACCAAATGTAACTTTCTTGAGAGCAGTGTATAGATCGAAGATTTCTGTCAGACTGTGTTCACTTACAGAGAGTTTTCAGACCACTTCACTTTTTCCACATTCTGTTATGTTGCAGTTGCCTTTTGCGTCCAGGCTCCTTGTGATCTGGTCCATGGCTCTTTACCTTTGACCTTCCTCTTCCAGGAGTCAAGTCTCATACTGTAAATGACGTGATGTCTGTTATAAACATCCATCACAGTTTATATTTCAGGTGATCACTTTCAGTTGCTTTAGATTATCTGGACAAACTGTTTGTTTGTCTCCATCCTGTCCGACTTATTTTCATGCTGTTTTATTTGTATATAAAGAGTCAAGTTACAGCTCAACAACTCAAATAAAAGATAACTGGATAATTGGAGACAAAACAGAAAATAAGAAATTATCTAATTCAATTTGCAGAGTGGCTCATGTTAAGGAAGAGTGCAGTCAAAAAGGAGGAAGCACAGAGCAAGGGACAATAATACATTTGCTGAGCACAGAATAGATTCTTCTAAGCTCAAATTTCTCCCCAGACATGTTTTAAACTAAAAACCATCTGCTATTGTTAATATTTTGTTTAACTTGGTTTTCCACACATAAAAAGTCTCCTCTTACTTCCTGACTGAAAAACCTGGATCAGTCCTTGTGCCCCACCCACCACTTGCTTGCTGGACAGGTGAAAGAGCAGAGAGTATCAAGATGGTTAGAGGAGGAAACAACAGAGAGACTCAGACACATGTTTGAGCCTCAGTCAGACCCAGACTCAGATGGAGTCTGAGACCAGAACCAGAGACTAGCAGACAGATCAGAACGGTTAGCGTAGTTAGCATCCTTTATATGTTTATGCTGTTTGTTAGCTTGTAACTGGCAGTGGCTGACACAGTGTTAGTGGTTGTTCTAATGCTAACTCTCTCTGTACTGACAAGGTTCAGGTTTATTTAGCCCCGCCCCCTGTCCCCACAAGTTGAAAGGATTAGTTCCTTAGGTTTGTGACGTATGAAACCCTGGCTGTCTGAATCTGTTTTACTGCAGCTCAAGGTGGAAACACTCAGTCATGGTGTTGACTGATTATTACTCATCATATGTCTGTATTATATAAAAACATCATATGGATGTTAACATGGTTAAAAACGTGATTTTCATCAGAGGGTCTTTAAAGGAGCTTTTTGTAAGTTTTACTGTTGCTACATAGCTAACGTTAGCATCAACAGCTGTCTGCTTACCATTTGAGAACAAATGCTGTTAGTTTGAATTTCAGCTTTGCTCGGAGTGAGGAGAAATCAACTGCTCTGGACCGAACATCGGAGATTCAGATAGAAATATCTCCTTTAAAGGATCGTTTGGATTACAATAATGTTTTACCAAAATGTTTTTTCTATGCTTACATTGTCTCACCACAAGTTCAGGATTGAGACTCAAGTATTATTCCTTAATGTTTACTGATGTCATTGTTTTTCCAGATTTGAGCAGTTACAAGACTATGGTGAGTGCTGTGTTATCATTATTGACGCTGCCAAAATCAGAAACGTGGTGAAGAAAACTGGAATTATTTAAATGAGGAGAAAGACCCAAAGTTGGCACGGCAACAGTTCAAACCACAGAACCCCTTCAGCTGGGCTGTGCACCATGTGAGAATGTGACAAGCTAGATTTGGCTGTTGTTTAAATATGTGGAAAAAACTCACATATTTCTATTTGGATTGTCATGCAGTCATTCATTCATCAGTAAATTTACCATTATTTTAAAACTCATTTGTCTTTCTTCAGAATGTGAAAGGGATGATTTTACAATTTTTGTTGAAAAACAAGATATGCAAAAAAAAATACAGCATCTTCATGTCTTTATTTTTTCAATACGTACCTCTGAACAATCTACAATAAATATATGAATACTTTGGCTTGAGCATCTGACCAGCATCCAGTCTATGAACACCTACAGTGAGGTGAGCACAAACTGTGCTGAGTCTGTAAAGCAACATAAACACACACAGACTTTACAATACAGTTTGGAAACTAAAGTGAGACAGACTCTAAAGCTCACTTCATGTGTCTGAGAGTAACACTGATCATGACTAGAGGCCTGAGATAGCAGCCTTTGGCAGGGCCAGATGAAGTAACTGAGGAGAGTAAATCATCATACAGGTGTTCTGCTCTTACTCTGGGCCATCAGCAGAGACGAGGGATATTAAAGCATGTTGAGAAGGAGCTAGCATCAACACAAACCTGCCTGACACCATCCATTCACATGAATACAAAGTCAGTCATTCAACAAGCAGCAAATGATTCAATACAATTCAACTCAGACCTGGAGCCTGTTCTTCAAATGTGGCTTCACTACAGTAATCCAGGCTAACATGCTGTTAGCCGCCTTCAAGTGTTTTTATTTGAACAGTTATGTTCTTGAAGTCTGCTGTCTTGAACACATCCACTTCCTCATAAAACATTTTACAAATCAAATCAGTTGATCTTGAAAGTATATTGAGTGGCCGGCTTGCGAGTCTTTGCTGCGAGTCATCCCCTCTCTCTCACCCCACTTTCCTGTCTCTCTAATACACTGTTAACACCAAAATTAGCAGGCATAAGCAGATTTTTTTTAAACCTAGGTGAACCTGTCAGGTCAGAGAAAACACTGGTGAAAGACAAGCTAGTGCTTCTTTCTTTCTTCATGTCCTCTGTTGATCATTAGGCTGATACAGTGATGTCTCATCCTGGCTTTAGGGATTTGATTCGATAAATTTACTCAAGCAAAGAGTTCAAAGTACAGTCAGCTCTAATCTGATTGGCTGAGTGTTGATCATGTGATTGTACTTGAGACTGGCAGACAGGACAGTAGCTGCACAGTGAATTTCAAGGTGAGAAATGTTTGTAATAAAATGATAAACTCTCTCATGAGGCAGATTAAACTCAATTTTCTGCAGTCACTTCAGTAATTGACCAATCACTGATACTTTCTCATCAACATGTCAATGCCCGAGTTCTTGTATGTCATTAGTCTAATGATCAGAAATGTTTGATATCCCAACCTTATCTCAAGTGTTTGTTTTTCGTTACTAATTTTGTTCTTTTGTAGAGTCTATTTTAACATGGAAAGGCCTTTTACTGTTTATTGTGAAAATTAAATTGTGTTACCTACACCAACAAATCTTAATAATATCCTACATGCACTCATCTAAAATCATAATTAAAGCAGTATTTTCATATGTTGATCATTTGTATCTGAAAGTGACTGAAAACATTGTTTGATGAGATGGGAAGAAAAGCTGATCAAATCAAAGATATGACTGTTGACACGGACTAATACACAGATGTTTTCCAACACACAGTGCACCACTGTGGAAAAGCCCACAGCTGGTACGTCTGCATTAACTTACAGTGGTCAGTGACAGTCAACAGTGTGACACATCAACATCTGGACATTTTATAACTCAGTGAGGTCTCCCCTCCTGTCCACTGGATGGAGCTTGTTTTAGTTGCACCACATTTCACTACACACATTCTAATTTTGGTTGGAGCTGTTCAGCCAATGTTTTGTTTTACAGAAGACTGAAAACTTGTTTGCAGCTTGTTTCTGATTGGTAACATACTCTGTTGGTTTTAATTACTGCACTACATCACATTGTCTTAGTTCTATTTTCAGTATTTTCTGATTGGTAAATCTTCTCTCCTGCTTTATAGAAACAAACAAACAAACAAACCAAAAGAAACTAACTGATTGTTATTGTTTGTATGTAAAGACCGAGTCAACAAATGAAATGCATCATTAAAAAATCATTTTAAATCAACTGTCATTTACAAACATTCACGAGTGCACATCCAGTGGACACCGGGGGGGGGGGGGGGGTGAGGTCTTGAGGGATCATGGGACCTTGCTGCCTCACACCAACAAACATAACCTGACCCTTCTGCATCTGTGTCATGAGACAGACCATGTTGCTGCTGGGGAAGCTCCTTAGCTTCATATTGACTCTGATACACTCAACTAAACAAGCTCTGCTGACTGCCTTTAAGGTCCAGGACGGCTGGCTTGTGTCATGTAGTGTGCACCCTGTTGAATACAGAGGCTGGAAGATATAAATCAGTGACTATAGGTTTGATGCAGATTACATTCAGATGTGTAAGCAGAAGGACACTTGTAGAGGTATTCTTGGCAGAGGCTCAATGTTTAAACCCAACATCTTCATCCTCTCCTCTCTCCAGCCTGCAGCAGGGCTAGGAGGAGAGCAATCTGGTTCAGGTGCTGGTTTGATCCCCAACACTGGTGACAGACCCCTGAGCCAGAGCACCAAATCCATGTATATACAGACTAACCTGCAATTAGGACAAGCTAAATATTGTGATAAAACGCAGAGGCCAATTGCAACATGTCAAAGTGCAACACTGGGGCAGAGTGTCCCGGCCTGGCCTGACCCTGCAGTGACCATGGTGTGTGACAGCTGCTGCTCTCTGCTGGGAACATGGTCTACAGAGCCTTGGGTGTCCCTCTTCAGGTGCTGGAGCAGGCGGGAGTGATCGCTGTGCTGCAGACCATCAGCATCCTGCACCACAGATCCCATTGGTCCAGTCCTGGATGACTCCAGCCTTCACCAGCTTCACCAAGAACTCCTTCTCCTTAGATATGTTGTGAGTCCAGGACTGCAGAGGGGACAGAGACACATTCTTTATTTCATTGCATGAAATTTCTTGCATTTTCAACAAATTGAGAGTAAAACTAGAATCACCACCTCCTGGCTGTTTCCTCCACCAAGCAACGAATTTGCAGAAAATATGGTCACATGATCCTCCTGAGTTAGAGTGTTGAATAAAGTGTTATTAGTGTTATTTTATAACACGTTCTGGTGTTGTGTGTATAGTGACAGTCAGAGCCGGAGACATTATGTATCCAGGTTGTCCGTCCGTCTGTCTGATTCTTGTGAACGTGATATCGCCTTGAGGGAATCTCTTCAAATTAGGTACAAACTTTCATTTGGACTCAGCGATGAACTGATATAATTTTGGTGGTCAAAGGTCAAAGTTCAATGGAGAGGACTGCTGTAAAGCTTTATGATTGTATGTAATCTTCATCAGGTTGCCACCTTCACTGTAGATTTAAGAACGGGGACACATTTCTTTGGTTTGAAGTTTTTTAAGATGGGAATCAGTGAGCCAAGATCTGAATAACTGGTTTCACATGGATGGATCAGAGAAAGTGTTAATGCAGGGGTAAGACAAAGGGCGGGACACCGTCACCGTGGGACAAGTTGAGACAGGAGAAGAAGTGTTTGTTAATGTTGTTAATCTTACAGATTTCCAATAATGTACAAGCTGCTAAATGCTCCATCGGAGTAATGTTCTATTGCGTCATGCTGCCAATCTAGGTGAGGTACGAGATGAATAACGTACTGAACTAAACACATTAACTCTTCATTATTTTAATGCATCAACTTTTTTTCCATTTATCAGTGCTGACAGTAGAGAAACACAATTAAAGGCTCTGATCAAATTTGTCACTAAGCTATTATTGTTATAACAATCAAGATGCAGCAGATGATCAACTGATCATATGAGTCAATTCATGTTTAGATCTGCCCATATTCCTGGAGAGTCAGCATGGCTAATGTCAGGTTAACCTGAAAACCGCCATCTTCACCTGCTCTTAATATTAGACTGGATACATTATCTGGATAAGGACATGTGACCACAGAGCTCTTCATTTACACCTGGTATTGATACTGAAACAGAACAGTCACAGTCTCGTTTCCCCTCACACTGTGATCTTATCTCAGTATGTAAGGTGATGGTCACTCGACAGCCAAAAGCATCCGTAAGCTACTTTTCACTAACTTTGCCAACTAGACTTATGTTACCTCCACTGTAATAAGGTAATCAGAACCAGTGGAGCTTTCTAACACTAGTTTGACCAAATGTCAACATCTTAGTGTTTATTTCAGTCCGAACCCCATTCAATTATTATCTTACAAATCAGCCACTGAAATAATGAGTGAGCTACATGGCTACGTTCGGGTTCTGGACAGTTGGCCAGACAAATAAAGAAATATGAAAATGTGACCATGGCACAGCACAGATACTAATATTTAGTAAGTGTGGGTGTATTGCTCCTTTAATATCCGCCCAACTTCCTGGCATCTAACTGACACTTGCTTCTTCAAGAGGATAATTATCCTCTCTGTTTATCTGCAGTATCACAAGGAATTGGTTCCTTGTTTGAAACCCAAAGAGACAAAAAAGTAGGAGAGAGAAATAATAGACAGAATGGGAGAAAAACTAAAAGTGGGGTAGAGAAAAAAAAGAATGACAATCTGGTTAAAAATAAAATAAAAAATTTAACTTTTGGTTATAAACATAAGCCTGGTTCTTTGAGTGATGTGATTGAGATGTTATGGCGGTTATGCAAATAACCTTAAGTTTTTCATAATATTCCAACAATGTCTAACTATGGGATGTGGTAGCTCCTGTATTGCCATACAAGCTTATCTAACGTCCACCAACCTGCTGGAGAGAGTCACTTTGTTCCAGTTAGGACTCCAAGACAGGGCTGAGACCTCCATCATATAGAAGTGGACAAAAGTGAGAGGCGAGGATCAAACTCCCCGGAATAAGGCCCAGCATGCGGCCAAGCCACGAGTCGAGCGCGCCCACAGACCTGTTGGAGGCTGCTGACCCTGACTCGTATAGGCAAAAGTAAGAGCCTCCAACACCCAGTGGGAGAGGTGTTGCTTTGTGACAGGATTATTTTAGGAAATGAACAGCTGATCGATCTGTCCGAAAACCCTCATCTTATCCGTGTAAGTGTGCACAGCATGAACTGGACATAACGCACAACTGCTGCTCTCCAGGTGACAGTGAAAAAATAGTAGCATTAAGCTATAGTAGTATCCCCACTTTAACCAATAATATTCAATCATGAGATTAAAATGTGACGTTATATTTATTGATAACAGTTAGTAGCTGTCCGGTTATGGCGATGTTTTGTTGATTGCAAAGGGATGGTAGCTGAAGAGGATTGTTGGTTTACGCTGCTGGTTAGCTTGACATGCTGTATGCTCTTATGTGGTAGACAGGAGTGTACGCTCGTTGTCTCCTGAGGTCAGGAACACACTGGCTGCGTGGCAGCTGCAGATTGATTTTGATTTTGGCACCAATGTTAATGGGTTAGAGCGGACAAACTGTCTGCGTCTCATACCTCACTGCTGTGTCACATGATTTAGAGCAGGGGTTTTCAAAGTGTGGGACAGTGTGCCCCCCTCAGAGAACATAAAGATGGTGATTTACCGGGTAAGAAAGAACACTTCTCTGCAGAGCCTCGTGTGTCATGGAGTCTCTTAACAAAGAAGCCCCGACCTTCTGAGGCTGTATTGTGATGATTATCCAAACATCTGAATAGCCTTTTCAGCTCACTCCCCTGGTGTGAGGCAGAGTGCATGCACGTTGTGCGCCCGTCTGTGTAGGGGCATATTACTCTCTTGATAATGCTCCTTAAAATAAGTGAAATACTGCGCCACTGACTTCAGACCAGACCACAAGTGTATTTTCTATCTAAACAACATGGGCACTGGACAGGAAAATGAAAACTGAGTCGGTCTGAAACTAACAAAGACACTTATGTTGTACCTTGCACCGCTTTGCACCGGGTGTAAGACAGAGCCCTGCGTCGTTGATTCGTACAGGTGGTTGATGCGGGGATGCACTGAGAAAGGAATAAACGTAGATTGTACTTCCTCCATTTTCTAACTGCCCTGACTCTGTCTCCTCTCTCACTGTAGCTACTAAAAATTGACCCATTTTGCCACATGCATAGCTGAGTTTAGCTTACCAGATGTTTACAGTTATCTTTTTCTAGTTTTTATTTTTTCTCACGCTGCGCCTCCCATGAAGTTCTCTGGCGCCCCCCAGGGAGGCGTGCCTCACACTTTGAAAACCACTGATCTAGAGATTTGGTGTCTCGTCTATTTTTCATGTCTCAGAAAAAACAGACAGAGAAAAGACCTATTGATGTCGTAGTGACATCAGAGCAGCATCATTACATAAAACTGACTCCTCCCACTAGTTTCTATGTCTAATCTGAATCAGAATATGACACAGACATGAAAATATAAATATATTTTTAACCATTTCAGCAGCTGCATGTGGAGACAGTGACATTTTAGTGATGTTTTCTGTCAGAAATGAATTTATATTAAAAAGAAATCCAACATTCCAGTAACCTGTAAACTCTATGTAGAGAGACAGAGCTGTAGCAGCAGAGACGGAGCTCGTGTGAACTCACTAATTCTCTGTAGCAACTCAACGACGCAGCTAATGTGTGTAGGCAGTGTGTCCCCGGCATAAGGTGAGGTATGTGATGCTTGTTTAACTGTTGCTTGTTTAACCCGGTGGATTGAACTGTACGCTGCCGGTTGTTTTTTCCATTATTATGCATGAAATGAACTGCAACTTTTCTTGAACATACTCTTTTTTATTTTTGTCTCCTAGCAGGTTAACAACAACATGTGGTCCTACTTCCTTACACAAACCATATCTCTCGTCTCGTGACCAACCGCCACTGACACCCTTTGGTACAATATGGCATTACACCTAATCATGACAGCGGTGACACCTACATGCCGGGTTAGCTTGATGTGTTGTTAGCTGGTTTTTGATGATATTAGATGGTGATGTTATGGACAAAAATGAACACAAGTTGCTACAGAGGGTTGTGTTGAGTGTGTGGGTGCAGGTAAAGAGGGATGTGGTGTGTTGGAACCTGATGACCCTGTAGACTTCACTGCACTATTAAACACACACACTCACATTGAAACCATGCTATTTTGTTAGAAGATAGATCGAACAGCATCAATCATGAAAAGTTTCTGTCTTTCTTACTAACTGGTAACTATTGGTGAGACTAGTGGAACAAGACGTACAACAATGGATTGATTACAGGACAGAGCATTTAGATTGGGCCTGTCACTACTATCTCTGTTTACCAGCTCGACCAATGCCGAGATCCCTCCAGTTACCTCTCTGAAATGAGGTGATCATCCTGATCAATAATTTAGAGCAAGAGCCAAAACTGGTGTTTTCAAAAAGACAACCTGAATGTATACAACATGCATGTCTTCTTTGGTTAAAACATCTGTGGCTGACAAATGGCTGCAGGCAGAAAGCATCTTATTAACCAGCCAATAATTTCTCTTTTGTTGTTTGGCAACTTTAGAGATTTAACAATCATTAGCTATACCTGAGCAAATCTGAAGGTGACAGTTGCCATTATACCGGAAACAAAATCAACAATTAGCACTTTCACATCTTTCAGCTCATTTAATGTTCATGAGGTTTTGAATAAAACTGTGCTCTAGCAATTTGAATAAAAACACTCTACCTACCACCAAAGACGATCACCCCATATGGGAAACTGCGTGTAGAAAAGAACACATTTCTCACCTGTCTCAATTATACATGGTAGGGGCGGGGCCAAGCAGCTCTGTGCCTCCTTGAACTGAAACACAAGTCCACGTTGGTGAAAATAACATGCAGGGGATTGCATGTCTGTCTCAATAACCTTGGCTAAGAGTGATTTATGAGCAGGCTAGAGACTGTGAAGTGGAGAGAATGGCAGCTTCGACATTGTATATAGTGCGCTTTGACTGTCCTGCTCTCAAAAACCAGCACCCAGCAACGTTCTCTGCTCTTGAGATTTCATACACATCCCAGGCCACTACTCAGCATGCTAGATAAATCCCTTCCTAGATTACAGAGAAAGGTCACAGTAAACTGTTCCAGTGCAGCGTAAACCTAGAAAACTAACAAAAAGGATGTTGGTCAGAATGCTAACAAATTTGGGCATTGTGAATATTGTGTGGGAGTATCGTTGACCAAGACTAAAACATGCAGGAAATAGAGGGTCAGACACCTGTGGATGGAGGGGATGAATCATCAACCTACACTGGAAATTCACAGCTCAAAGTTGGAAGGTCATACTGAGCCCCTCAAAGTTAGATCTCTAGCAATCTAGCAAAAAAAAAAAAAGCCAATCAGCATTTCTGTCAAATGGCAACAAGATTTTAAATTTCATCAGTTACACATCTCTGTTCATTTCATTTTTTCTCTTTATATGTATGGAAATATAAACTATGATACTTCAGTTATTGTGCATATTTCATTTGTTCATGAGAAGATAAAATCTTTTTTAGACATATCTGTGGAAAAATTCTGAGTGGGCGTCTCCCTTGACGTCGGCTGAGTGACATCTGAGAGCAGCTGTCAACCTTTGGTGCATTGCTGAATGGAGAACATCAGACTATATCCTGCCAACAAAGACACAATATGATTCTTTCTCCTATCAACCATTGGTGATTTCATCCGTCTGTCCCTTTACCAATCATACAGTCAAGATTGTATTCCACTCAGAAAAGGAAAAGTAGCCAGCATAGCATGCTGTTAGCACCAATTCCCACCAGGTGTTATATTACTGTACTGACTTGTTGTCAGTTGACCACGTAACTTTTGCTGAGCAGCAGCAACAGCGTCCCCTGTGGCCACACATGTAACTGCAAGACATTCTGTAGGATGGTGAAGGGCACGGACAGGAAACATGTCCTCACGTGAAGTAAAAAGACTGAAAACCTCTGAACCCAAAGCAGCTGTGAGCTGAAATCTAATTGCCAGGCACTAGTTTAACACTGACTGAGTCACAATCTTCCTTCAGCAGGGGCGACAACTCAAGTCACTGCAAAAGGCAGTTAGTTAGTTACCCACTAAAATACAGTCTGGTGGCTGCTAGCATGTAGCTTAGCTATGTTAATAACCAGCCAAGTTATGAAGACAGTGTGAGGGCTGGTAATCTGGAGCTTACGAAAGTTACTTTAGCAGTGTAAAGCAGATGTCATCTTTTTTTTATTAGAGCCACAACTGGTTATTCTTGTCTTACTCAGACATTTTTCACGTTTTTTTGTGGCCTGCTGGCCCTCTGTAGATCTTTCTTTTCTTTTGACTTGCAATGCTAAACGCTCTGGTTGGTGGTGGCTCTTCCATTTCCCCCATGTTTGACATGCTTGTTGCAGTCACCTTACTTTTTGTTCTTTTTATGTGGCAGCCCCTCTCTATGAAGTAGCTCACTATTGCCACCCACTGCTATGTTGTGTGTCTTTGATTTTATGTCCGAACCTTTGTTTACACCTTGTAACTTTGGGGCACACATATCTGTCAGGTTGTATCTGACCATTTTGGGAAAAAAAGTAGGATATAGCAGCCAAAACCAAAGTAAGTGTGGTTGTGGTTTAATATTTTTGTTTCTTGTTTCTTTCATCATATAAAATTCTACAGCTCTGTATGGTGCTGTTTCCTAAGACAGATATTCTGTTCCACGCAGAAATAAGTCACTTTAAAGAAGATGAAAATGCTCCACCTGCCATTTCCCTGTGACTTAGAGGGAAATACTCACCGGATGAGCCATAGAAACGATATAAACACGCTGTCTAGCGTGTCAAGTGTGCCGATCCAGAGAGCGATCGATTGCTGTAGGACAGTGGGGTATTCTAACACAGTCACTCATGTCAACCTGCGATGATATGTGGCTTGACATTGCCAGTGTGTGTAAAAAAAATCTATTAAGTACGTGGATTTAATGACATTTCTAACACATTTTTGTCAGTACTTCCCTACATAAAAATAATTCCTAGTAATATAGTTAATCAATTAACAAGAGGTAGGGGTCCGGGGCCAGAGGCGCTATATTAAGTGACTATCAAAGTGACTGAAGGTGGGGAACTTTTACTCATCTGTTTTCTCACAGTCCATTCATGCCTAGACCAGATAAGCTTCCAAGTTATTTTCTACAGCAGGCATTGCATGGCATGAGAACCAGCTGCATCATCTTAACAGATCAGGTCTTCAGGTACCTCTTTGATGGCTGACATCCTAATCCTCTCATAGTAGTGCAATGGGGCATGGGGAGTGCTCATGTTGTACCCAAATCCAGCCACAGCTACTTCATCACAGTTATGAAGGGCCATCGTTATGGCAACTGCCCCCAGGGTTGGGATATTCTGAAAAACAGACATAAATGAAAGAATTTGTATGATACAGGCTATCCAGCCATGATCGGTATCCCAGAAGACATATAACATGTAGTATACATGTAAATCTATGACAGAGGAGCCTGATATATACACTATATTTTTTGTGTGGATATTTTACAGAGTGTGAAATCTGAAGCATGGTTATATTTATAATAGCCTAATAGTAACACCGTTAGATTTGAGGCTGCTGTGTGTCCCCAGAAGCCTTCATAATGCAAAAAGACAGACAGGAGAGTCAGCTCCCATAGCTCCAGTCCTGACCATTAACTCAACGCTGTGTGTGAAACAGCTCACTATTCCTGATACTCCTCTATCTAGAACTGAACAGACACTAACTGCTAGGAAAACAACAGGTCACTCACCCCTCTGCCCATCTGTCCACTGTTGTAAGGTAAGCCTATTAGCTTGAAGGAGGCCTCCTGGATGAAGTAGGGGTTCAAGATGCGCATGTCGCTTGGCTCCCTTGGAACATGTCTGGCCACCGACTTCCAGAAGCCATCAGTGCTGCGCTGAGAGACAAAGAGTGGGGAAATTAAACTTGTTTTGGTTCAACTACCACTGCCCTCTGGCAGGCAGCTGTTTTCAGTGAAAAAGATAAACTCACTGTTTGCATCCTGCTCCACCACCAACAGCAGATAGACGCAGTTAGCAACTTGCTGGTGAGCATTATACAGCATTTAGCAGCTGGTGAGCCAGATCATTTTTCTGAAGTTTTGGCAAACTCCAAGTGGGCTGTTGTATACCTTTTACCCAAAAGAGCTTCTGTCTAGCCTCTCTACCATAAAGGCCTGACTGTGCTTCTGAGGTGGTTGTGCTTCTGGCAGATTCTTCTGACGCTCTGTTGAGGGAGTTACACACTGTCTTAGATGGAACATAACCAATGTGAAAGAAAGAATTCAGGGGTCTCATCTTCAGAGGCTACATTTGAAGCCCAACTGTGTCACAGTGGCGTGACTAGACTGTCAAATTTTGAATGCTCTTTCAAATGTGTCCTTCTTTTCCTGGACATGAAGGATCCACCTGTTGGATCCTTCGTGGCGTAACCTATTCCAAGATTCATTGTGCGCTGGTAATGAAAATAATATGTCAGGAATGCATAATGCATATGTCAACACTGACAGAGAGCAAGTATTGGGTTTCAGCTCAGTTCAACAGCTAATGGTACAACTGTTAAAACCAAGGGCCAAGGACCGTGTGTTGCAACGCAACGTTAGGATGGGCACAGCTGGTGACACACAGCGAAAACACTCCATACACCAGACCATCTAATTTCGGTTCCGGCTTTGTAGTCTATGAAGGCTACAAAGGTGTCTCCTTCACAGGCCGTGTCCTCCAAAGGATGCGGCCTCTGAAATTCTGAAGCCTCTGAAATGGCAGTCCTTTGAGGTCTCTTTGGTCTTGTGACCAAAGAACCTGGGACAAAATTCTGACAGTGACAGAAATTTAGGATGACCATCTCACAATGTGACTGCTTCAATCACCTATGCCTTCTAACCAATCAATAGGAATGCAGCATGAAATGATGCACTGATCAATGTGTTGCTTAGCTCAATTGTATCACTATAGCAGCTCATAGCCTTTGGATGAAGCATGCAGATGACATTTAACATGTATATTGACTTGCGTTGTAGCCTATGATTCAGTAGGTGTCATCATCGTACAGTCCTATTTACATCTATGAACATCAAGTTTATTAGATCCATGTTGCAGTGTGGCCTGCAATAGACTTACTCTATAAGGTCACTGTAATCTCACAGTATGAATACTTTCTGAAGTCACAGTACATCTGTTATCAGAAATGTCAATGCTCAATATTTATCATCCATAGTGACACTGTAAATATTGATCAATTCTTACTATCATCACATGATGGGATGGTATGCAGAGTGGACAGGAGTGGAAAATATGAGGTATGCTTGAGCAGCGCAGTGAAAACAATACCCTGAGACCTGGATGGAGAGTTCAGGGTCATTAAAACACTGATGAAAAACAAGAGGAGCAAACAGAGCCAGCCAGGGAAAGAAGCCCCTGTATCAGTATACCTGGGGCCATTACACTAATTACTAGCAGTCTGCCCAGTCCTGATGGCTCTTTATGAACAGTTACTGGGATACCTGCCTCTGGGTTTGCTTAGGTATGTTGGAGTAAGGGGCAGGGGAAACCAAACAGCAATAATATGAGCTATTAGCTTACTAGCATAGTACTGTTACCCTGTAAGACTGCGAGCTGCTCACTGATGGATCAGTTGGTAATCCTGTCTGATGAGACCATTTTGCTCTTCTATTGGAGCTGGAAACCCAACACCTCTCCTCTGCTGGGAGGACACAACTGTCTTTGGAAAACATTGACACGCAGCAGATGGGATCAAATGACAAGCAAATCTCAAAACCCTTTCATAACTCTATCAATCAATATGTTTACATGTGTTAGTATATACACAATAAATAAGTCTCACCTAGGTCACAAAATAGAGCTGCAATAGCATCCAGCTCCATTCATTTATAGATTTATAGCCCCTTTCCACTGGAGGAATTTAACTAAGTATAACCAGGGGCTTCCCACAGCGTGAACCTTGTGAGCCTTCACTGGGAAATTCTTCTCTACATTAGACATTTAGTTTCTCTAGTAACTAAAACAAAAAAAGGGAAAACTCACTCAACCATCATCCAATATTTTTTTTAGGAATATGAGCATGTCTACATACTTCCAGGTAGAAGCTGGGATCTTTGGGCATTTACAATATCCCCTGCTATAGAAAATACTCTCTCACTTGGTACTGAGGTGGCTGGGACAGAGAGATATGCTTTGGCTATGGGTGACATCAGCGGGTAAAACTGTGCATTGTCTCTCCACCACTTGAGAGGATAGTCAGAGAGCCAGAGATGCCTCAACTCAGTACCTGCTCTGCCTCCTGCCTTATTTTAGTGCCATTAGTCTTCACCTAGGCACATTTTTTGGCAATGTTTTTTGCTGTCCGTTTTCTGCAAAATGCCTCAAGCATAGACCTGCAACCTGCCGCCTGGTATTAACATCTGTTTTGATGATCTGATCACTCAGACCATATTAAGAGACAGTCTGGACCACACGTGGCCACATTCTTATAGCAGAGCGAACGCAAATGCTCGATTTCTTTCTCTCTTTCTCTCTCACTCACACACAAGCACATGACAACGGACCCATCTGTCGATTGGCTAAAATCAACAACACATACCTGTTTATTTGCATATAAAGCAGGAAAGTGAGGTCTGATCACAAGTGGTCAATCGAGACACATGTAGAGGCGCATTTTAAAGTAAGGTGTGAACTGACTAACTTATAGCTGACCATATTATAGCTGTGATTAGATCACTGAAGACGCATCAGTAATGGCTAAAAAGTGTTTTGTGAGGTCACACTAAGCTTGACACCAAAATCTTATCATCCTTTTTTTTCCTTTTTTTTTTTATTTAAGTGTAATAGGACAAGACAAAGTGATAACATACATACATACATACATAACATACAATACATACATTGGACAAACTTACCGGCGAGAGAGTGTTGTGCCTAGGTTGTGTGTGGATACTTGCGTGTGTGTTGTGTGGGCGTGTGTTGATGGGGTTTGGTTTTGTGCAGTGGAAATACTGTGATTGTATTAAAGGAGCAGGTGTGTAGAATACGAAGATAATAACCAAAGTAATAATAATACTGATGATAATAAATATGATATAAATAAGTATGATGATGAAAAAAAAAAAAAAACACCAACTGGTAATCTGGCTATAATGATTGTTGTAGTATTGACAAAAACAAAATTATATAAATAAATAAATAGGTAAATAAAAGTTATAGTGATAATAATAATCAAATGAATACATATATATGTATAATTATCATAATAACAATATAATCCCACATCAGAAAAGTAAGTGATAAGTGTTTTAATAAAATGAAAGGTTAAAAGGTAAAGAGATATAATATATAGTGTATAATTTTTATAGGACTAACCGAGGAAAGAAGAGGAAGGAAAGAGAAGTAGAAGAAGGGCCAAGTCATATTGCCAATGATGATGGTGAAGGGAGGAATGGGGTCTGATTCAGATAATTAGATTGATGTTGGTGAGAGCTGAATGGTGTTAAAGTCCTTTGTTTTTCTAGGTTTGAGTGGTCTGTCAATACGTTGAGCCAGTGTTGAGTAGATACCTTAGTTTTGTCTTTCCAGTTCAGTAGTATGATTTTTTTGGCAATCGTAAGTGATATTAATATGAATGGTTTATGGTTTTCAGATATGTTTGTTGCAGACAGATCACCGAGAAGGGCAATGATAGGACTTAATGGGATGTTTGTGCTAAGCATCTCGGATAGCTTATCTAGTACATTTGTCCAGAAGTTTTGGATTGGGGGGCAATACCAGAGGGCGTGGATGTGATTGTCCATTGTGGTTGTGCAGAGTGTGCAAGTGTTGCTTTGTTTGAGACCCATACAGTGGAGTTTGTGGTCGGTTATTTGGGTTCTGTGAAGGATTTTGTACTGTATTAGTTGAGTTTTGGAATTGCATGTCATGGAATATATGTTGTTACATATTGTTTGCCAGTTGGTGTCGATTGGTAGGTTGTTTATGTCTCTCGTCCATTTGTGTATGGGGATTGATATTGTTGAGTCGTGGATATTAGGAGATTGTATATCTGGGACAGCATCTTTTTAGGTTTGAGTGCGTGTAATTTTAGTTAGAGGGGAGAAATGTAGTTATTAATTTCTGTGGTGTTGAAGCGTTTATTTATCACATCTCGTATCTGGATATATTGAAAGTAGCAACGGTCTGGTAGATTATATTTTGTTTTTATGGAATCGGTTGTGAACCGGCTGTCATTGAGTAGCTGTCCCAAGGTCGTGATCCCTCTTGTAATCCAGGTTTGGAAGATGAAGGGTTTATTATTGATCAGAAGCATAGGGTTATTCCATATGGGAGTTTGCGTTGAAAGTGATATTTTGTATTGGAAGATTTTATTTGCTTTCCACCATGCGTTTAGAGTAGTGTTGATTGTTTTGTGTTTGTAGCAGGGGTGGGGCTTTATGGAGTTATCAATGAATGGGAGATTTTTAGTGCCCAGTTCTTGAGTTAGGCTGTTTTCAACATGGTGAGTTTGTGTTTTTGTCCAGTGGCGGATATACAGCAGTTGTTGTGAAAGGAAGTAGTAATAAAAGTTAGGGGCCTTGAGTCCTCCATATTCCTTAAGTTTTTGAAATGTGGATAGTTTTATTCTTGGTTGTTTATTTTTCTAGTAAAATTTGGTGATTGTGCTATTCAGAGAGGAGAACCAGCTTTGGGGTGGAGCTATAGGGATCATGGCAAAGAGGTAATTTATTTTTGGAAGGATTTTCATTTTGACCGTTGAGATGCGTCCGATCAAGGAGAGTGGTAATTTATTTATTTATTTATTACTGATTCCAGTCTAATGGCTAAAGTTTTGCTAATTAATTTTATGTCTGTGTTAATTAATGATATTGGGCGGTAATTAGAGCAGTGTGTG